GTCTATTTATTAGATTTAAAATAAATGAACTTAGCTGTTCTTTGTATTTTTTTTAATAATAAAGATAATTCTCTTCCCGTTCGTCTGGAAAATTCGCATGGCAAAAGATCTGCAATATAAGGGAAATTTTTCAAATTTTTATTTGTCATTTTAGGGCAAACATATATAGTAAATTCAGTAAACTCGTGCAACTTTGAAGCTCAAATCCTCCACAACAACATGACATATCAATGAGATGAAATCGTGATTTTGTAGAGGAAGGTCTTGGCTTCAAATACACGATTTATTTTGGGGTGTTGCATTTCCCCATTTTTGGAGAATTTGAAAATCTACACAACCAATAAAAAGTTGTAGGACTAGGTGACTTGCATCATATAGAAAGTAATTTGAAAGGACATGTCACACGACTGATATTAATATACTAACCCCGAATCCGAAAGTCCGATTATTTCCAAATTCGAAGTTAAAGCCGGAACCATGTGATAAATTTCTGACCAATAGTATTTTTATGGAGATCAATTGAATTTAAAAATAATTTCGAATTTTAAACCAATGATTTAGAAAGAGAGTAATTGAAATGGGTTGATTTTAATGTAAACAAATACACAATATCCCATGCTTCCTTTTTAGTCATTAAAATACATTAAATTTAATTTACCTATTATTGACTAATTTTTTTTCAAACTCTCCTCACTAAATATTTTTTTCCTTTTCTTTTAATTAGATTAATTCATAAAAATATATTTATTTAATTCATACATCCTTGTTGCTGGCCATCAAGAAATTTTAGATTTTTTTTTTTTAAAGGAAAATTATATTCGCACTTTCTTTTTACATAAATATTTCTTTACTCCATTAACATTCATCTATTGAACATACACATTTTACCATTTCACACCATTCGTAATATAACCATTATCATTGTCATCTAATATTTCGTAAAAAAAAAACTTACAACATAAAATGTTTGGAAGGAACAAACGTCAGCCATACAAGGCAATCAGCAAACAAATTTTAGCTTCTTTTGCCGTGATAGAATTATTCTATTTCTCAAAAGGTGTTCTTATCCTTGTATTTAGCGCTTTATGGTTTAACACAATTGAAGCAAGTTTACGTAGTCTTGTAGTAACAAAAAATTTACTCATAGGTGAAGAAAAAATTTTTTTTTGTACATTTTAATTTAATAACATATGTTAAAACATATTTATCATCATCATTAAATTCATTCATTATTATTAAATTAATTATTATAGCTGCATTTTGTGTTGGAGGTCTTATTATAATTTCATTTCTTATTGCTAGTGTTGGCTTCTTTAATCCAATAAAACGTAAAAAATTTTTATATGTACATACATTTTTAATCGTTATATCCACTTTTGCCTTACTGGCATTGGGTGCAAATGTTTGGTTTAAAACTTTGGATGAAAGAGATCAATTCAACAATAAATGGAAAGGTTGGAGTCAAAATACACGAGGTTTTTTCCAAGTTGAGGTATTTTATATTGCATTACATACATGCATGCATCTGTAATCATTAAAATATATTTACTAATAAATAAATAAATCTTTTTTAAATAGTTAAATTGTTGTGGATATAATAATTCAACAGATTTACCAGTTTTAGCTAAATGTCCAAAGGATACAGCCAATCCTCCTGGTTGTATTGATGCTATAACACAGGCAGCTGACAGATCATCACGTCAACTATTCACATCTTTATTCGGTTTCATTATAATTGATATATTTGCCTTCTTCTCCACCATTATACTCATACAATCAAGAAATGTGGAAGAACGTTATATGAAAATCGATGAAAAATATGGAAATTCAGGTGATCAAGCATTAAAGAGACAATATGTGTGATCGATCATTTATCTATTTAATTAGAATTTGAAATAATAATAATATTAATAATATTAATAATAATAATAATTGTAATTATAATTATAATTATATCACATAATCATCATAGTAATTTTTAGAATTTTCATGATAAATTTGTAATTTTTCCCCTTTCTCTTTTTTTCGTCTTTTTCTTATATATAATTTTTTCTTTAATATAAAAAGTTTTCTTTTCACAAAAAATTGAAATTAAACAAATTACTTTTGCACTATCTAATTAATTATACTTGCTGTTCATATTCAAAGTTCTCAAAAAAAAGCTTTTATTTGAAATTAATTATTTGTTGTTGAAAATTTGATTTTTGAATAACATTGTTAATATCAACAATAATAATATAACCCTAGAGGCAAGTTTTGCATATGTAATAATTATATTTACTTTTTTTTTTTGCATAATTGAGTTAAACTCTGTTTTATGTCCATTTGGTGTTAAAACTACATTCATCTTTTTTGTCCTTGATATGCCCAAGCAATAAGTTCAAAACAACTGCTACCAACAACCAAACTTCCATTATGACATCCGTTATAAGAATAAATTGGATGTGATTTACATTACATGTGTAAAACCAACCATTTGTGATGCATTCGGGACAAAGTTCAGTTAGTTTCTTGATCAAGTATTTTCGTAGCGAAAATATAATTTTGACTTTATTTATTTATAATAATTATAACAACTAAAGATTTGAATTTTTAAATTCTGAAAATTGACTTTACTAATGAATATTAAAAAATCGTTTATCTTCTACAAAATCAGGTTTAACATCCTCTTCCCCTCTCTTGAAAAGATACCTTGCCGCTCCAATTGGTGTAAGCTGACCACCAGGAATAGATAAGTACGGTAGGAAGATGGAATGCAAAAGGCATTGGGATGTAAAGTTTCGATAGCATCACGTACACTGTAAAGTTCTTCCATATCTCGGAAGTGAAAAATACAATATGAATTTTTGTCCCTACGCTGATTTGCACGATGGATATTAACTGTTGCAAAAGTATTCATAACCAAATTGTATGCATTCTGTCCATGTTAATCGACCCATTGAGGATTTGGGATTATGATTAAAACGGGGTCACCCTCTTCAACATCAGAAAGTTGTTTCATATATTTGTGAATTTCACTTTTAGATGCTTTTGGAAAAATAGTTCTGAGGGCTTAAAAAAAAAATTTAGATCTTATTTAGATTCTATTATAAAAGTGATTAGTGATTAAGAAGAAACAATTCTTTTCATTTATTTTTTCTACTAACCTTTTGCCAATTCTGGTTCTTGAATATCATAATAAATGCCGCAAAAAAACATTTTGATAATATAAAATCTGATGAGAAATGAGAAATGTTATGTGTGGTTTTGTTGGTAGATAAATCAGTTGATTATTTACCCAATAATTGAAATCCACACGGGGGAAGTCATCCAAATTATAAAAAGGATAAAAGGCAAAGCAACCAACATGCAGCAACCGAAACAAATACAAAAAGTTGCATGCATTATATTAAAAAGGAAAGGTGAGTTTTTAAACATAATAATAGCATTGTAATATCAAGTTATTATTTAATAATGTAGTAAAATTTTAATAATAACAAGCTTATTTATAACTGAGGACGAGAACAAAAATTCATTTGTTTTAAGTTGGGTTTGGATTTCATCTTTGTCGTAAAAAGCAAAAAAATGATTCAGGCCAAGACAATAGTCTATTTTATGAAAAACTTTGATTTATTATCATTCTCAAAAAAATGATGATTCGTAGCTGCTATAATTGATGATGTATCATCATCATATATTATAAATGTAATCAATCAACTAATTAATGAGTTTTACCTAAATAAAATAAACTTGCTGGACATTTAAATGAGCCACATGGGTTCGTCGTACCCCGGGATGGGTATTAGTAATGGGAAAAATGAGTCTTACATACAACATTTCATTGGACAAATTCTATTCCATAATTTTTATTGTGTAATCAAAAAAATATAGAGTTGACGATAGGTTGCGAGTTTGTGGAAGTAACTGTTAAATACAAGATGTATGACAATGTATGAAGCTTCCAAAGAAGTTTGTAAAATATAATGATGAACTTTTGTCAATGATTTGATAGTTTGTATAGGCGTGATCAAAGTAAGTGTTTAATACAAGATCTAAGAAGGTTGCAAATCAAGTTTTGCAAATGAAAGTTTTATCAATTATTCAATATTTTGTATATATATATAGGAGTGATTGAAATTGAAATAAGTGTTAAAGGCAAGATCTGTGAAGTTATTTTTAAAATATATTTTAATGAATGTTTTATCAATTATTCAAATATAGGCAAATTCGATCGAAATACGTGCCAAAATCAAGATCTATTTGCAAATCAAGCGAACATTTTATTATTCAATAATTATATAGGCGGGTTTGTCATACACTTCATGACCAAATCGTACAATGTTTTTTCCATGACGGGGTCAAGAACGTCTGCATGTATCACATTAAATGAGATCAACTTTCCTGTCCTTTTTTTCGTGTAGGCAAAGCAGTGTATGTATCGTTCCGCAGTTTTGAAATTCATCATTATTTAATCAATTTTAATATGCTAATTAAAATGCAAATATTAATTATCTATATATAAAATCTCAAATGATCTAATTATTTGTCCGCTCATCCTGTTTTGTTTGTGTTGCTTATAATTAAATAGCTATATCGTTGAATAATAGTGAAATACTCATTTCATCTTAGAAAAAATATATAATAAATTTCAGCATTAAAATAAATTATTACAAACTATATAATAATAAAAACTCTCCAATTTTTAATGATTTCATTATAAAATAGTAAATGGAAACAAATTTTGGAAGATTTTCCCTCTTCCATGTAGAAATCTTTTTTTTAATTACATTACATTGGATACAGATTTATTCATTTTTTTTAAATAAATTACATGTTACTATTAATGATAAATTTGCAAAATTATCAGAGGCTCTTTTTGCAGCCGATCGTCATGCACGTGAAGAAGTAAGACAACGAAGGTAACGGAAAACATTGGCGTTGTGCTTTTCATGAAAGTGTTTAACTAGGACAACATTTTTCCAAAGATTTCGACATTTTTCTTCTTCTCAACGAATGAGCAATGTGAAGCCAAATTTTACTTAACTATTATTATCACGCACGAGTCGAATAGAAACAATAAATTATTGTCTCTCTCATCATCAAAACATCAGAAGCAGTAACTCACCTTTCTTTATTAATATAATGCATGCAATTGTTTTGGTTGCTGCATGTTGGTTGCTTCGCCTTTTATCCTTTTTATAATTTGGATGACTTCCCCCGTGTGGATTTCAATTGTCGAGGTAAATAATCAACTGATTTATCTATCAACAAAACTACATATACTGACATATCAATTACCATTTCTCATCAGGTTTTATATTATCAAAAAAAATATGTTTTTTGTGGTATTTGTTATGGTATTCAAGAACCAGGATTGGAAAAAGGTTAGTAGAAAAAATAAATGACAAGAATTGTTTCTTCTTAATCTCTTCTATAATAGAATCTAAATAAAATCTAATTTTTTTTAAGCCCTTGGAACTATTTTTTCAAAGGCATCTAAAAAACGAAATTCACAATTATATAATTATATAAAACAACCCTCTGATGTTGAAGAAAAAGGCGATCCCGTTTTAATCATTATCCCAAATCCTGCATATAATAGGATTATAATTCTTTTGCAACAACAACAATAATAATTATTATTATATTTGTACACAACATCTGATATCAACAAATTCCTTATATACATGTATATGTATACTACTAGGATATAGCTTGGAAAAAAAGTAAAGAAAGCTGTTATCACGGCTCCTGCATATTTCAATGTCTCGCAACAAGAGATGCTGGTAGAATCGCAGCACTTGATGTTCCCAGAATTAGCAATGAACCAACTGCCGCGGCTATTGCTTATGGACTTGATTCCAAAGATACATCAGAAAAAAAATTTTTGATTTTTGATTTTGGTGGTAGAATTTTTGACATATCACTTTCAAACATGTTTGGTTATATTTTTGCTGTAAAGGCTACAACTAGTGACACCCATTCAGACGGTGAAGATTTTGATAATAACCTGCCGGAATATTTTAAACAAGAATTTAAACGTATTAATACTAAAGGAAAGGCGGGCGACAAATGGCATATATTTTAATTATTGATAATAATAATAATAATAATAATAATAATAATAATAATAATAATAATAATAATAATAATAATAATAATAATAGCGATAATAACGACATAATCTAAGAGGATCACACCGATTTCTTTCTTAATTATCACTACGGTAATTGTACGAAATAAATGGCAGACTACGTAAACCAAAAAAAAAGTTGGCGTCATTACCAACCCGAAACCCAAACAAAAGGAGAAGATGGATGGAGGAAAAAAAAAATTAACCATTTTGTTTTGTATCATTCTCCAACATTTTATGTCCGACATCGGGAAAAATTACCGGGTAATCCAAAAATTTTAACTTCTTTGTCAATATTCTTTATAATTATAATTTACCAACCACCGAATGCTGTGATGGTGTGATACCATCTGATGAACATCTTGGTCTTGATGATATGTCGTGTGGTATTACCGCAGAGAGCGTCGGCCATCTTCACCTACTACGCAACGTAAAAATTATGTGTATGCAATTTTTGCAAATATCTTGCACTTTGAAGATTATTCATAATTCTTACTCGAATGAAAACTTTACGCAAGCGTAGTGCATAATTACCAAGTTATCGTGCAAAATTATGAACTGCGCAAAATACTTGTGCAAGCCTTTTATAATTGCACAAAAGTTACAAGTAAAATGAAGGCGTTGTTGTGTACAAGCTTTTTATAATATTTTTGCGATATTGATAGCATAGTGGACACTGTTGCAGATCACAAAAAAATGATCAACATAACATATGTTATGGTGAAAGTTCTTGCAAAAGTTTGATTATAAAAGTGTGAGATAATTTTGATCTTGCTGATGATCTGGACTTAGAGAGGCTACAGCTATATTCTAGTGAAGTTTCAGAAGCAACGGGCTCTGTGTAACTGCCTGCCTATTATACAAATGACTGTTGCACAAAATGAGTGTCCATTATGCTGATATTGATTGATTAAATTACTTTATTGTTAAAGCATTTAAAATTATTGATGGTTATATATAATCCTCAAGACACCTAACCTAAAGTCGTTTCAATTGAAAAGAGGCTTGCTCTCTCCTATGAAAAGTTTTACAATTTTTGGTTTTTTTGAGTGATCTAAGTTAGTAAGATAAAAGAAACCTAATGGTTTATAGTTATGCAAATATAATTAATAGCTGTATATAAAACATACAATCCTTGCCATACATTTACTTTGTTTAACCTAAAGTCGTTTTTAATTGAAGAAGGTGCTTGTTATATATAAAAAAAACTTTATCAACTAATTTTACCATTATTATTACTCAAGCGGAAGATTTATATTTATAATTTGTTTAATTACCATGTAAAGAAATATTTTCGTTTCCTTTTATCGAAAGCTCTCTTATTGTATACGATTTCTCTATTTTCATATAAAATAGAATTCTTGATCTTTTTGTGTTTTAAAAAAATCTAATATCCAACTAGATAAAGATAAAAACAAATTAGTAGTTCTATTATTTTTAATTTAAAATTTTGCGACCTATAAAACTCGGTTTCATTTCTACGAAATTGAATAATAAATCAATGCACAATTAACATTCCAATAAACTAAAACCCTCAAAATCATTGCTTAAAGCGCTTTGATAAAAACAACAAGTGGAATGAGTGTCTTGGTAAAAAGCCAAGTTTTTTGCCTTAGTGGGTAAACAAGGGTTTAGTGCTAACGTTGGTTAACTAGTGGGTGTTAGTGAAGTATTGTCCAAAGGTCACCAGTAGTGTTATTGTAATAGTAAACGCAAGGCCGTTAACAAGCTGCCTAAATGTTTGTAAATAAACCAAATCGACAGATAAACTGAAATAATTGGTCACAAGCGAATAAAAGGAACTTTATAGAAGCCTTTGAGCTTTGTAAAAAAGTCGTTTTATTCATTTAGAGTTATCCGGCACCATTAAGTGTACTTACAAACAAGGAAGAGGCAACAAGCGAGAACCAAAGTAAATTCGTAAACCAGTTAATTGTCAAGCACCGAATTATTATGAGTTGCTTGCAATTAACTGACAAGAGTAGTCCAAAAATTAAGCTGTAATCGGCAATATTACCATTTAACAAGAATCAGAAACTGTAAAAAGTTTATTATTTCAAAATATTATTATGATTTAACTTTAAGA